CCGAGTGGTAGGGCGAGCGTCGGGAATTAATACCAATGCAGAAACCTAAACTCCCTAAAGGTACATCTATCCGCTCTTAGGAATGGATGCGGGCCACGTGTTGGAGGAGGGCGCGGGTATAAATAAGTCCTTCTTGTACATACATATTTTCTCTTTAGAAGAATTGTAAACTATTGATCGTGCATCTCAAGCCAACTTGAGAACTTCCCCGACTGTCACAAACACTAGTAGCTGTCCTCCAGTCGTGCCCCCATTATTAAGGTGTGCGCTAGTTTCCAACAGCGTCTCAAACATGGGCAGTTCCCGACTTTCAATACGAGCGCAACTTAGCGCTGACACTATGAATATGTCTATGATGAATAGTACAGGCTACAGGGATCTTACCGGCTCACTAGCCGTCACAATTTAGTTATTACAGGAGTTTATCTGGTTGATTTGTCGAGAATTCTTGGAGTACATGGCTTGGCTGTATCACAGTGTTGCATAAAGGATAACTTATACATAAATACATACGCGACGCGCGGTATTGAGTAGTGTCAGATTGGAGTCTAGAAGTTTGAGCTGGAGCGAATTCGAAGGACTAGAAGAGGTTCAATGGACGGCGAAAGGTGACTGAAGGTATACTAGAGATAATTTGGAGGAAATTGAGGTTTGAAAGATGGTTAATATAAGAATTTAAAAGTTCTAAAGGTTCGAGAGGGTACTAATGATAACTAAAGGTACTAGAGGTAACTGGAGGTGACTATAGGTGACCAGAGGTGATCCGAAGGTGGTGGTTGTGACAGAAGACTAAGCGTGAAGAACTCTATAGCTACAGGCCAAGCCATCATACATATACTTGCTTTCCTCCCACTAGCTCATCATAACATAGGCCCTAAACTAGTACCAACATAATAACCAGTGCCAAGAACTATTCTGTTGTCATAGCAACATCAGGAGAAGGGTAAAATTTTAAACTAAAGTTAGGATGGGAAGGAGAATCCTTACAAGTAGATAAGCATGTAGTCTTCGTAGTACTTCTTTCTTTGTACAGAATATAATACAATTTACGACCAACTTTTTTGCGAATAGCTTTTATGATCAGTCCCTTCACAGAAGGCGAACTATGGCCCTCGAGTCGGGCTTGAATTTTACGGCCATTGTTGCGGTTTTTTTTGTTTTGACTGGTTGGGCTAGTTGGGCTAGTGTAGAGGAGCCTTTCTTCGCCACAGATGCATATGATAGGGGTGACTTAATTGCAGGAGGGGGATTATGTAACGTATTTTCATTAGTTTTTGAGACTTATGATAACTGCTCAAAGACTGGCATGCCAGTAATGACTTGGGCGGCGCTGCGTGTCACGATAGCTTTCAGATCAGCTGCAATAGCTGGTAGAAGAGCGCAAAGGTGTTGAACACTGGCTTTTTGCCATGCTAATGGCGATGTGGCAATATCATTGGTCGTGGCCGCTGAGGGTTGGTGTATTACACGCGCTGATTCACCCGTCAGAGGGGGGGTAGATTGGGTATCTACTTTCGGAGTATGAATAGGTTGAATTTTAGAAGAGGCATGTATAGAACTGGAAAGGCCTGTACTAGAATTCTATTTCAAGACTCTTGTGGCTTGTAACTTTGGGGCCCTAGTTGCAGGCTCGAGCATATCTATCAAACTATGGATAGTTTGGAAGCGATCAATGCTAGATATAGGGCTTTAGGTGTTATTTTTACAAAGCTTGGAGTTACATGTTTCGGACAAAGGTGTTTTGCTTGCGTTGTAGCTATAAGAACTCTAAATCTTCTGACTAGAGATGTTTCGTTCTAATCCATGAGAAATTTGGTTCGTGGGGACAAGTTGGGGACAGATAGCAAATTGCCAATTCTGAACATATATAATCTAGATAGAAACAGAAAGAGAAGAGAGCAGCCAGGAATCAATTGGCTCTTTTGACTTTTTACAATATTCAATTGACTCGTATAGTCTAACAGTCTCTGCTGATCAAAGTCACCGAGCCTGACAGTGATGTTGTAATCTCTAAGGCAATTTTTCTCTGATTTCTTCTTGCGTCGGTTGCTTTTTAGGTTCAAGCATTTTGTTAATATCATGCATTGATGCTGCGTAGATTCCAACGAAATTTTGACAAACAGTAGTTAGATTTGACTTTGAAGTCCGTTTTAGGTAAGCTGTCATTACGGTATGTTGTATTACTGCCACGTCTATCTTTGTGACTGGCGAACCGCTGGTGTGAATGTAATGGTTTTTGCTTCGAAGAATTAGGAGACAGTCTCGAGCTTTATAAATGATATAATTAAGCTTCATCAATGACTCTTCAAGAATCAGATCTTGTGCTAGTGCACCAATAATATAGCCCCATGTTGGAGATGGAGACACAGAGTGTTGTGGACGTACGGGCCCTCCATTTCGTCTAGGTTCCCGACACGATCTCGTGTGTATTTAAGAAGTTGGAATGGATAATATGGTATTAAGGGCGAGGAGAATTACGGACACCGCACGTAAACAGTACCACAAAGAGTTAATATTTTTCTATAGAGATTTACTACAGGAAATCCTTTGAACTAAATATGCCAGCTACAGCCATCAGTGATCCAGTATCCCGACACTTATTCTTTTGATACTGAGTGATCTGTTATCCAGCCTCAGCATAATTAACCGAGTGATTCGAGTCTCGAGAAACTCTCTTATAGATCACTTGGTTAGTTTCCTTGAACAAGGCTGGGCCTGAAAGATAGCCCAGCCTAACCGAACTGGGCACAGCCCGTAACATATGGTGGCGCTTCAGGCTACCTACTGGATACGTGAGTGTCACGGCTTCAGTACAACATGCTTAGGCGATCTTGTAGGTACAATATATTAATTATAATTCTCTAGAGAGAGAATTCCTGTAGCTAGACTACAAATATATATACACTCCGAGATACTCCTCTGCTATAAGGTTCCCCTATGACTAGAATAATATGGAATCTTCGAAGATTCCCTAGAAGACTCTCGATATGTCTGTCATCCTCATGAACCTTCAGTATGCTTCCAGAAGGTTCATTAAGAATCTTCTAACCTCCGTGTATCCTGAGATCCTTCCCGAAGATCCCCCAAGATTCCCTTGATGTCATTGCCTGTGCTAGCCAGCGTAGGCTACAGGAATTCTTAGGCTTAGCAGCCGTTACAGTGAGCGGCTGCATGGCGTTGGCACAAGGAGGTTATTGGAGCTTTTCTATGTCTAGATGGTGCCACACTTGTATATACTGTGGCTTAGGCTATATGTATAAGGAAATGGTTAAACTGTCCTTTGCAGCTATTGATGGTGACATGAATTAAGATGATGATTGTGATTGAGATAGATTTCTATATATAGTTTATAATACATGATATGCTCAGGTTCATATACCTCAAGCCAAGCAGCCAGATTATGTTCCTCCAGATCTAGATTCATCAGAATAATTACTTACTCAGTAAAATTCTCCTAGTCTCAGTTGTGTGTTTAGAATCTTGATTAGGTTTCTAGTAACTAGTCAATGATGTTTCTCATATCACTGAGACATAGTCATGGTTGATACAACAGGTACAAACGATGAATCGTACCTGTACATGACGTTGTGATATAGTCATGATTTTCTGAACAATATCAACTCATGAATGAATCATGTCTCTACATGACAGTATGTCAGTACACTTGTATAAGAGTTTCGATATAGAAAGCTTGGGCGTTTGAATGTCAAAAGTTAATTTAGGTATTAATTGGGGAACAAAACAACTGCTCCATCTAATGACCTATTTATACATATCACCCTGATATTCTGAAAATTTGTAGCTGTCCTCTAGTCGGGCTCCCATTATCCAGGTGCGGGCTAGTTACCAACAATATTTCGTGCATGGACAGTTCCAAACTTTCAATACAAGCGGAACTTGGCACTGACACTATGAATATGTCTGTGATGAATAGGACAGGCTACAGGGAATCCATCGGCTTACTAGCCATTACAACTTGTACTTACAGCGCACACTTCCCGCTCTTTTTGCTGAAATCCGAACATGAAACTCTTTTTGTCAACTTCTTCTTTCGTCCAATAACTATTGGGCCCATTTCATTACATGATCTTTCCAACACCCCAGACAGTCGATTTCTGCACATTAAATTTCCTCGACCATTAGTTGGGAGGTTTCTTTTTGTTGAAATGTGATACATCTTGGAATGCCAAGAATAACTTATTAGTAAGTCCGGCTAATTTGACTATCAAATTCCCCATTCTATATCACTGTTATCAATACATCATTCACCGAAAGTTTAATGCGCATTAGCGTTTATTTCACACTAGCATTCCAGCAGATGACTATGTCTCAAATGCAGGTTATAGTTTTCTCGTATCTATTACCGACACACATGTATTCAGCTTTATATTCCTGACCCATATATGTATATGTACATAGATCTACATCTACATGGATCATAACTTACGATCCATGGAGATTGATAAATACTGGTCAAAAACCACAGTTGATAAGATGTGCAAATACGCAACCTCACTCTTATCATCTCGGTTTTACTCTGAACCATAAATCTAAATACAATTGTTTCCACTCGGATCTTCCTCTCACAACCTCATACGAGACTTACTGCATTGGTCTAACCGCCAACACTGATTCCGCTACAACCTCAATCTTCGCTCAAGCTCATAACTTTAACACTTTTGAGTCCTTGGCTAGACTTAATTCTCTTGATGGGACTTTAATGCGCGGAAACTTGAGTTGATTTACGAGTTTATTACTAAATGCGGATTAGATCGTGCATCAAAGATCAATTAAGGCAGGAATAAAAGTTGAATTTGCTAATGTGATTAAAAAACAGGCCTTCGTACATCCCACTCATTATATTTTGTATAACCAATTTATCACAACTCTCACTTTTCCACAAGCCTCTACTCTTCCAGGTGCAACTATATCTGGAGGTTAAATTTTAGTTGTGAAATCCGCCTCATCTGTAGTATGTGGGCCAAGCCTTCGAAGTTTGCTCACTTTTGCTGATCTTTGAGGGCGGCTAAACCTTTGGCAAAATCTAGCTCGATGTCCTGAGTTCTTGCAACGCAAGCATAGCCTTTTTTATGCAATTCTGCCACTTCGGAATCAGTTCGCCAAGGTGTGGCTGATCTCTGTGTATTTTTAGCCCTATTTGCGGATGTGGGGTTGGTGTTTGGAACCATTGTCACTAGAGCATGGAGGTCGATCTTCATTCCCCCCATTGATACAACACTATTGTAGTCAATTGATCTTACTTTGATTAATTGGGACGTGCCATGAAGCATCGAAATTAGTGAGTTGTTAGATGGTTACTTTATAGTCTGACAAGAACTAGATTGGGTGGATCGAGCCTCTCCCTTGTCTACAAAACTCTCTTTTATCTCCATGTTTGAGGCACCCTGTCAAACTCGAGGGTACCAGGGGTTGTGTTTTATGGATAACATAGAAGTGCGAGTGATATCTGACAAGATTTGTCACAGACTAAGGTATTAATTCGGGATTCTAGCTATAACTGAGGACAAGGGACAAGAGAAACTAGGACAAGAGACAAAGTCAATGGAAGACGGAAAACAAGACGTGGCCCTCTACATCGGCTCTACCCAACCCATATATACATCATAGTAACCAGAGCAACTAAGGCTTCAAGGGGTGCACCTGCTGCTATTCTATTACTTCATGTGTAACCCATAGCAACCATTGTAACCCGGTAAACGCTCTAAGATGAGAGAATATTCAGATGTAGTGTAGGGAAAGAATATGAGAGTGCTGCTCTATCCTCAGTTCCTGACACACCCTCTACCTATTTAATGTAATTGTCATTTAGCAACCTCAAAACATCGATTTTGTTTGATAGTTTATCACTAATAGACCTATGTAGCTGATTGTGCTTAAATTTTTCGGGCCAATCATTTCCCCTGCGTACTCTATTTGCAGCCCCCATTCTTGTAAAAACTGTCGAAAAATCTGTGCTTTTCCTTGATTCATGGAATGGGGATTAAGTTGCGCTCTTCCTGCCGCCACATTGTCGAAACAGACATTGTTGCAATCATCAAGGAACTCTTTCCAGTGGCAGGAGTTCGTTATTCTACATTGAATCCAGTATCTTCGAATGCGCTGTCTTTGCAGCTCTAAGATACTCTCACATATCTTCATGCAAACCGCCATTTCGTTGACCAGAAATGGTAAATTTACTTCAAATTGAACTCGAAGTGATTGATGGTGTGTGGGCTACGCATCTGATTCGCCGTCCCATCTGCCGAAGTCTGTGACTCGGATCATGGTTGTATTTGAAATTATCGTTTTGTAAACAGTTGTCGACAGAATGTGTGTCGCAAAAACCTCCAGATATTCGGAGGAGCTTTAAAATACTTCGGAAGGCGACACTGAAAGAGAAGTGGATAAACTCGAATCTATTGGTGGCTGTATCTTCATACACAGTGTTCGTTTGTCAGAGATTAGAACAATTTGTCGCGGGATAAATTGATGATTGTAGACACAAGAGCAAGTCCGAAAGTAAAGTCGGTCAATTATTCTAATCTGCAAAGAAACCAGATTTTTTACTCTTATCTATACTAATTACAACTCTTTCAATATCATGGCCTTGGGGAGCGCGGTACTGATCACCAGCCCAGCGACAACTAACCTCGGAGGGTAAGACTGAACACCTATACGCGGTGTCCTCTTCCAACCTGGGAGTGATATATTCTCCCAGAGCCAAGTTCAGTCAAATTTCTCAATACCGAACAAGTTGGCCCTCGAGGCCATGATTCAAAATACTCCGCCTATCAATCTTTCACTCCCAACGAGATCGACCTCCACAGAAACTCCATCAAGTTTATAAGTACGACCTAGAACAATCTAGTTTCAATGACTACACTTCTCATCAACTATTCTCTGGCCTAAGCTGGCCTACAAATACACGCCCACGCCGATATTTATACCCGCCAGAGGAAGCAGAGCTTGGCACACAAGCCTCGGAGACAGTTCATTGGGATGAGTGTGGGAGGATTCGGGAAAAGTTTACAAGATGATATAGAAGATGTATTCAATCTCAGCCGGCGTGAAATTTTAAATTTTAGCAAGAAGTTTTATGGATTGAGCTTTGTGCGTGTCGCCGGATCAATTGGTGTTGGTATATAGCAGGGCAAGTCCAGAATAAAATCAGTTAATTAACGAAATCTAAAGACGGAAGGTCTCCTACATCTTGCTATTTACACAAGGGATTTTAATTAACGACGCTGATCGTAACAGTCTCCGTTTCTTAGCAACCGTTTCCAATCCCCACCCTTGGTACTCTCTATAGCTGACTAGACCCCAGATTCCATCTCTACCATACTAGCGCAGACAGTACACACACAAGGGAGTATTCCCGTAACAGTGCGTATGCCAAGACTTCGATTGCGAGAGTGCGGGCGACACTATAAACATTGTGTCAACCTAACCATGACCTGCATCCAAAGCGATGTGAAACCGACAAGAAAGTACATATAACCCTGCAGGCTAAATGCGCCAAGATCTCACGTGAGACATACTGAGCTCTAAACGTTTTACCTGACGCTATCTGTGAAAATATCCTGTAACTGTTTGAACTCATGTAATCATGTACGAGTTGTATTCCTGTAACTATCTATATTTGTGTTATCTACGACTCGTAAACTTGTACTAGTATTAGTCGCTCCTGACAGTTGCTGTTTGCAATATTGGAACTAATTGTGTTACTACTTCATACTTAGGACTATTTGACACATTAAGCTTGCACAATAGTATGGGGAGATTATATTGTCTGTACGTGGGTGATCGGATGAAGGACGGATGGACTTCTATTTAAAGAGAGATGGAATACTTCATAAGAATCAATCAATCACATTCTCTTCACTCTGAGATAAACTTCTTAGTCCCGATTTATCAACACATCGCTATGGCTGTATGGTGCGGTGGTACATTGTCTTGGCCGGCCTCCCATGTAAGGTCTAGATAGCTAGAACAAATATCCCACCTGAGACAGTAGATTGCTGGTTCAAATTCGGCAAAACATAACCACTTTTCTCGCAGCGCTGGTGTGCATAGATGATGAAGGCGTGCTTGGATAAACAAAGGTTTTCAAATTCCCTTTGGTGAATAATTACGAAGGAGATTCAACTGCTTGCATAAGCAAATGTGCCCCATAGTGGTATTTGCAAAAGTAGTCCAGAGAATGAGTGTTTCTCACGTCAAAAGAGTCATCCCACATGTATACATAGCGCCAATCATGTGTCATAGCTAGATAGCTAAATACACATTAAATTATTTGAAAAAAAAAGACATCAAACCTCGCAGCAACCAGCCTCATCAAAGCTATCCTTGTGATTACCAGCCTCGTGTAATATCTATTGCTTGCCTCAGTATTCATGCACCCAGTACTAACCTTACCGGTCTATCCAGTAACAAAAATTATTCAAAGTTGGAAGATAAATGTGTTTGAGAAACTGCATTTATTCGATCCATCAAAAGTCACAATTTACATGAGAGATAACACTCATACTCAAACAAATAGCTCTTCTATGTGCCTGCTAGTATAGTATTCGACTATATTATATAAATTATTTTGGATTCTTCTCCATTTCATCCGCATACAGCTCATTTTGATTTCATGAGACTAGCTACACCTTGCACAGGCCAATTTATCATCAACTACAATCAATGTGATTGTCTGAGAGAGTTTACATCATTATAAACTTCTATCTCGAAGACCTAGATCCCAGATTTTGAAGCCACAATTTTTTCTTCCAGTGGGTATTATTGTGGTTATAGGGTTATATATGACGTCTTGAAGTCTGGAACTTGATAATATGTGGGATAGAAGAGGTAGGTAGATTTGAAAATTAAATCTTTATATGATCTATATGGAAGAGACGTTCAAGGGGGACTATTGTTATGAAACTGGGTTATGAGTGGATAGAGATATACCTGTACTATTGGTTGATCAAGCTGGTATGCAAGCTGGTGAGCTGTTGGGGTCTATCTGTAGGTGAGTTGAGACTGTAGTAGATGAGAGTTTAGAATGGTTGATTAATTATATCTACTTGCAGAGTTATTACTCTGTTGTATACATGTCTCCCTCGCTTGTCCTCACTCTACATGACCATACCAGTCCTTCTCTAACTCCGACGGAGAGTTCCTTGACTCATCTTTATCCCTCATCAATTATGTGCCACTACATCCTAGATGTATATTCATGACACAGAACCCCGGGGATACTACGTTCCCTAGTGGTGGCTCCTTTACTCAGCTGCATCACCCACTGACCATATATCAGTCGAGTAAAGATGAATACTCATGATATGATATTTCTGATACGAGGCACTCCTTGGCGATGGCTCCTTAACTCCGTTGTGTTGCTTGTTGTTGCGTGGTGGCAGGACATCCCAGGTATGAGACTTGTCGGGCACCACGCATCTGCTGCAAATGACTCTTCTAGATCAGATTCATGATATTCACAACAACTATTCTCAACAACTGTAGGTGGTGTCCATACGAACCTCCAGCTCTTGCTGTAGAGTCTGCAGAGCCGAGATTGAGTAACAAAGTCCTCACTCCGACGAGGATTCCCAATCGCTTTCGCGGTCTGTATCGTCTTCATCACTCAACACATTCCCCTATCACCATTATCATGAAGCTAACCACGATCAGGTCAGATGGTAGGGTCGGAGTCCTAATCATCACCAACCCTTGATCATGGAGTAGATGCCATCCGATGAGTTTCCGGAGCGTACCCAGCACCCGATACAGAGATGGCGGATTGGATTAAGTCGGCCTCGATTATTACAAAGAAGGGAGATGTAGATGAATATGCGCACCTCATGTGGTCCCGGTGTCTAGGCCTCGACTGGCTGGGGCTGCAGGTTTTTTAAGACTTTTTCCCGCGCACGCAGTTTCCATTGCTACCATTTTTTATATTTTTTATATTTTTTATATTTTTTATATTTTTTATATTTTTTATATTTTTTATATTTTTTATATTTTTTATATTTTTTATATTTTTTATATTTTTTATTTTTTTGGGTAGAAGGTTCTATGGAAAAGGTGGCCGAATTCCACGGGTAAACACTGAGCTGAATGGCTATTCATCACGGGCAATATATCAATGATCTTTCGAGTAACAAAAGAGGCAAGGAGCACTGTACAAGGTGTGACCTAGGTCAGAAAGGAGCCTAATGTGCGAGATAGTCTATAACTCAAGTAGTACAATAAAAACATAACATCACCAGTGTGTCCTGATTACTAGGCGGTTCCCTCAAGATCTAAT